ATTTTTTTTGGGGGCCTTCGGGGGGGGGGGGGGGTACGAAGGTCTCATCCCCCCCCCCCAAACGCCACACAATTTCCTGTATAAACAAGCCTATAGTGAATACTATATACAAAGTGGGCACATTTCATGCAAGGGGGTACAGTAGTACATCCACGTAGCCCCTGCTCCAGAGTACCGCAGCCCGCAGCCGCGGTACCGTCCGTAGCAGAGGAGCGAGAGAGAGCGAGAGGTTGGGGAGAGAGGTCACGATGAGCACAGTCTCCGTGGGGAGGGGATTCCTATCAACAACCCCCTTCGACAAGACGGCTTGGCTAAACCGCGTCTGCCGAGAGCGAGCGGATGGCATGGAGTTTGTTTGCCGCTGCGGACACAACTTCGGCGACGGTTTAGGAGTCGACGAGGGCACCGCCTTGAAGCATGAGGCTTCGCACAAGCACGAAGAGTGAGTGTAGCCTTGGTTGCATTATAGTATAATCTGCCTCGCAGCAGCAGCAGCAGCAGCAGCAGCAGCAGTAGTAGCAAGAACAACACACACAACAACAACACACACCAAGGTTGGACGCAACCAAGAGTGCGCGAATGCGGAGCCCTCGCGATGCAACTGCCGTCGTGTTGTACACACCAAACGTGGTTGTACTGCTGCCCGTGTAGCTGGCAGCGGCAGCTGCGTGTGTGTTGTGCTGCTTCCCATGTAACTGGAAGCAGCAGTAGCGGGAGCCTCAACAGCAGAGGCAGAAGCCGCAGCGGTAGCTGAGCAGCATGACAACTTGTGACAACGTTTGAAAAAAAAAATGCGCGAAATGCAGACCGGCACCACCCACAAGGCTGTGGGCCACGGGGATATTCGTGCCTCTGCAGAACTGGCCTTTACATCGGTATCCCCTGCCCTTGCCTGCCACTTTCCGCACGCCCATCGCATGCGAGCAGATAGCGTTCGCCTGTTGCGAAAATCGCTCAGAGGAATAGCAGTGGCAACTGGGTTTGCACCGCGTGCCAGCACTATTTCGGCTCCGGTGAACGGCTGACCCAGTTTCATGTGAACCAGCACGAGAGGTCGACCGCACACATGTGAGGGCATATGGCGGTCGGTGTCCGCAGTTGCATACTCGAGAAGTTTGGACTGCTCGCTTTTGTGCTTACCAACATTTCAAGACCTCGCAAGACCCGTTACTTTGTCCATCCTCGCTGCACGCATGTCGCGCAAAGTATCAATGCGTGCATGCAGCTTTGTCGATGTGTGCGAATGCGTCGCTTACTACGCAACTTGACACAGTATGTAGACTAAAACGATTAGATAATTGTTCCGTCTCTCAACGGCGGATCAATCAATATTTACTCACATCCGCAGGTGTGGCGCTGAAACTAAGCGTCAGAGGAATACGATGCTGAGGTTTTTTAAACCGACGAGCACTACGGGCGGCGGG